GCGTAGTGAGTGCGACCAGCCTTGTGTGGAGGCTTGCCTGCACGGCCAATACATTAGTGTTAATGCAGCACTAGGGCGTGATAAAGTCTTACTTCTTGTGCAGTTCCTCAATGTTACTTACGAGACAACACAAAATATTCTTTAACATCCTTTGAATTATTTCACGCCAAAAAGAAATTTAGCTAAGAAAATTCGTTGGAGACCTGATATCAGCAGCACTCAGCCTTGTTTATAGGAAGTCAGTGCTGCTTACTCTAATTTATTAGGAAAATCAGGTGCGGCCTATAGATTTATAAAACATATTTCTGGAATTTTACATTGACTGTGCTCGCCTTATTAATCTCAAAGACCAAGAACTGCATACATGCATGAATATAACACCTGTGCAACATTTGGGTATCTTCATTATTATACTGGAGAGGTGGAAGAATGAAATAACAGTGAGGTATCAGTCCCTCAACCTTGCTGAATCTGTTGAAGACTGAACGACGTTAACAGTCGTATAATACACGGCACAATACAAGTACACTGACACACACACACACACTAAAACATAATTAAGCTCTTATTCTTAATACAAGTATACCAGTTAAGATAAATATAAGTACATTTACAAATCATGAACCAAATCTCGGCTGTCGAGAAACTCAATCCAATCCGCTTGACGTGGGAGACATATGCGCCAATAAATATATCAGGTTAGACTTGTCTCGGGTCCGACACACCTGTCTTATCTGGTGACAACCTGTCCTCTTAAGACAGTTTGTATTTACAAACGACTGGAAGTTCGCTACAAAAGAAAATTCTCTACTTTGCCACACCGATGGTGGTTCACAGTATGGATTTATCTTTTCTACGTACGTTATTTTAAATTAAGACTAAATGTAAATTACCGAAAATTAACCAATTAACAACGTAAGTAAAAAATCTACCCGAAGAATGGGTGTTACTGGACTTGCTTATTGTGGACCAACAAGCCTACTGCAGTTTCTTCATTATGTTCTTAAGAGTACCATAGATTTGAATATAACAGCGGCCGGGTACACCACGAAAAAGACGTTTAATAATGCACCTTCAATTCTTTTATAAACACATTTTTTTTTTACGAAGACAGATGGCTGGTGACTAGCAGTTTGCTGATACACCAACTACGTGTGCAAGCAGTCTGGGAGGGGCTACGGCTCTCATAGGGAGACGGAGGGAGACTGGGTGACTAACGTCCCTCATTATTTACAGTCACAGGCGTACATTATCAAACCAGGTGATGTATTTTCCCCGTGACTAGTCTATTATTTCTCCGTGCCAGAGAGCGGTTTCTCTGCAAGATGTCATTTATTTATTTATTCACTAGATTTATTTTCACAATAAGAGTCACGCTTCACCGAGATTTAGATTTTGCCGCCGAAGCGACTAGGTTTATTGCGGTCCCCATATATATTCCTGTGAAAAGTAGCACTAGAATATATGGAACTAGTATATAGGAACTTAGATCTATGCTCATTCTCCAGAGAATACAAAATGCTCGTGTTAGTGGTGTTTTGCGCTTCCATGAATCCTGAAATTTATCTGAGGACCATTACAAGAGCCAAAGTCGCCGCGACCCGCTCTCAGACGGCCTCTCGGTAGACTACCTGATCAACCAGGCTGCTGGTTCTTGTCGAACGCAGTCCAACGTTTGCATCACATCCCGGCTGACCAGAAACTTAGCTGTGTTATGGTGGATTTACTCTATGCTAGAACTGACAGCCTGGTTAAGTCATAAACAGACTTAATCTAGGACCAGGCCGCGGGGACGGTGACCCTCGAAATCACCTTCATGTAGCTTATAGTAAGGGTGCGCCTACATCACGGTGCTGTGATGGATGTGGGCCAGCGGGCCACCAGTAGCAACAGCCTGGTTGACCAAGCAAGCACCATACGAGCCTGGCCCATGGCCGGGCTCCAGGAGTAGAAACTCTCGGAACTCATCAAAGGCAAGACACATTTGCAGGGTAAACTCGTTAGCTACGTTAAATATCACGCTTCAAAGTAATGTATGAATAGTGTACTGAGTAAGTGCAGTTTGATGTATCTTTTTTTTTTTTTAACAACAATTATTGGAGGTCCAATGTGTGAATTTATACATTTTACAAATTATATGTTACTGCCAAGAATTTTAGATTAGATTTTGTCCCCGAAGCGACTAGTTTATTATGTGCCCCATATTCTTCCTATGCATGGTAGCGCAAGGGCAAATAGATACACACTAGACTTAGGAACTACATACGCCCCATAAAGTTAATAGGAGTATACCTATGGGGTCTTTCGGGGGTCAACGCCCCCGCTGCCCGGTCCAGGACCAGCCTGCGACATCTGGAATTGGATCTAAAACTGACTTCTGTTGCAAGCAAATACTATAAGAAATTTTCTTATACGTCTGGTATCTTATTTTCATTAATATACCATGACGTTACACAGGTTATACTCTATTCTTCAATAGGTAGGCAAACGAAAGTGTCAAAAAAAAAAAAGTGACCATAGGGCTGGCCACATACTTTGCATTTGGTCTGTTCATCTATGTCTGCCAAACTACCTGAGGTACTTGTAGTAGCCCAGCTGAGGCTTGGTTATATCAGTCGATCTGTTCACCCTGCAGGTTGCTCCATAAGTCCATAAGTCTACTTACCTAACGTTCATATCATCATAGTGGGTAATAGATCTACTCAGACTAGCTGCATTCCCACAAGAAAATTTTAAAGCAAGCAAAGTATAAATTCACAGTCTAACTTACCCTAGATTATCCAGACGTAAAATATGATTGAACTGAAACACACGCAATATCCTTACCAACTCCTTGATTAGTAACTGCATCCTTTAGGAAGGTTCACCTCACAACAAAGACCACCTTGTCCTTGGAGGAGGTGCAGACAGTGAAAACTGATCCTTGCCACTCAACACTACCCACATCAACCACCATGCAAACCTCACCATCACTGCTACAACAGTGACAGGAAAAATCAACTATCTTATGATAGTTGATTTTTGCTTTTCGCTGGTCAGTGCAATGTGAATGCAATGAGCGTTGATAAAACTACACTTTTCATTGCACTAAATGCGACACGTTTTGGGTATGATTATTTTTAAAATTTTGCAATTTAATTTTCACAATACTAATGAAAAGACCAGAAATACGCACATGCAGTTTGCACAGAAATATAACATGCCCTTTGTTGTTCATGAAAGATGAGACTGCGTTATAAGTTTAAAATATTATAGTCTAAAATAACGATAAGTTCGTTTTGTTATAATGGCGCGATTTTTTTTTTTATCTTTAGAAGGAGGTGGTGGAAAGACAATGTTACTGTTGGTATGTGTATGGGGAAAAAAAACGGTATAAAAATTATATTTAAAATCCGAGATCAGTGATGATATTTGATTAGAAAAAAAAATCATCAATGATGGTGTATCCGGCAAATTTACTAACAGCTGATTTCTTAATTTCAAATTACAGTATTGATGTAATTATGTGAAAGGGAAGGATCCAGATTATACCTAACATTTTGCCAAGAAGACTGAGCAGTTGAACAGTAAATGGATCTCTAGAACTGGCGTACATTACTGGTCAGACAAGTACCGAAAGGAATTTACAACTTGTGTTCATTAAAAACGAATAATTCCTACAATACATATGAATGTAAAAGATGAGGCACAAATTTCTGGGCACGAGAGATAGCACTGACTGGTTCAGTCGAGGAAGCCATTGCTGAATTGTATCTGACTTGAAACTGTTGAAGATAAAGAGGCACGAGTGTGAAACAAAAATATAGAGTTACTAGGTATGGAAGAAAAAAAAAGTTTAGGAAAATGTTTATAAAACAAGGTATCTTGTTAGAACGACTGTGATACTAAGGATTAAAATAACGTTAACATAAATAATAATTTTTTTAGTTAATACCAAGCAAGGCAATGGAACCCCATTCAATAACAGCCGAATGCCACATTCAAGGGTTTAAATTATTCCACAGTGACTGAAAGAACCAGGAGGGTGGGGGTGGCGATATATACATACAGAGAAAACATGAAATACTGCATAAAACATACATAAAGGCATACGGACCAGAAACTATCAGAATAGAATTTATATCACATGAGAAGTTTATTTTAATAGTATTTTCTGAACTCAGAAAACAGCCAAGTGTTTTGGGGAGGAAATCAAGACAAAATGTGGTAGAGAAAATTTTAATTTTAGCCAAACTAAGTCTGAATGATAATCTAGAGTCTAGAGACTTCCTAGAAGTTCAAGATTATTTTTTTAAGACAGTCTTGTTCTGACAAACAATGAGATCCTCGTTAATAACCTAAGATCACAGAAGAGCTTGGCCAAAGATCACATTTCTCATTCAATTTTACATGCACATAAAAATAGCATTTTTTTAAATTAATAATTCCTCGAAAGTAAATAAGGTGTTAATTTCCTATCTCTTGAAACGTGAAGACCCACGTAAAAGCTTCTCTAAGAGCTTTTAATGTAAATATTCATTTTACCATACACTGTCTGGCGGAGGTAGAGTCTGAACAGTCATGTAACTGTCCATATGAGTCAGTGAGGAAATCAATGAAGGTTACCCTTGACGCGGAAGGTGGAGTAGAATTTTTTAGATAGGCGAGGGAGGGATGGGGGGGGGGGGTTGAGCTTTATGTCTGCCCTAGGTCACATGGCCTTGAATACCAACATTTAACAACATCGCCTGTTTTCAATGATCTTGTTTGCTGTTAATCCTTAAACAGAACGTTATCTTATTTATTCTACAACAGCTGTGACACTACCAGTCTTCCCAGACTCATCTGATCTCTTTTATTCACGACCAACATTTAATTTGGTTGTGGCCAAGTCTGTAAAATAAAATATAGGCAGCAAATACAATATAACACCGCAATACACCATTTACAAAAGGTTTTTACTCAGCTCACTGCCATTATGTAACTTTACAAATACCAAGGAGTTTAAGAGAAGAACTTACCTCGCACCAATGAGGAGTGAATCACCATCCCGCTGCAAGAGCCGAAAGTAGTCCGTCTCGCTACTGTTGCCCGGGAATATCTGAGACTCCAGTTCATCTGTAATTAAATAAAAAAACGTGTTAATAAAGCACAGGAGTGAACTTTGGGTAGTTTTAAATAAAGGTTGGACGTGTACACCAGCAGGTGAGCTAATAAAAAAAATAAAGAAAAAACTAAGTACAAATTAATGTACGTACTTTACGAAAATATTAGTGATAATTTCTGCAACATAATTTATCTTGGGTGCTCGTCCTTGGCTACAAAAATTCTGACAGGACTTTTACTTACATGATTTGATATAAAATATCGTTTGGAAAGTAATATTTAAGAGACAAGAATATATATGAAAACTAATTACAACACCAAGTTTGCAAGTGTCGAGAAAGGGCCAAATTCAGGGCTGTGACGCAGCCATCATAACCTAGGCCACTGGGGACGGATTTAATAAGCGGAGTTCAACCAGCTCACGCACACTATCAGGAGTACACACACATTTACATAATGTATTCCCACCTAAGGCATTGCCAGCACGCACCTAAAGCCTATTACACCTTGGCGAGCAGAACGCAGCCTCTACACCATAGGGACGCCCAAAGCAATCACCTGCTCACGAAGATCATAAAGACAGGAGCGTTTCCTGTGTATAATGTAAATGCTCCAAAGCCATTGATCATAAAGACAGGAGCGTTTCCTGTGTATAATGTAAATGCTCCAAAGCCATTTATTAAATTAGTATAAATGCATCGAGGTAAGTTAAACAGTCTTTCAGGGAGTCTCTGACAATTACTACTAGCCAATGCCTACATAAATTTTTTTAAGAGCAATATTCCTTCGTTCTTTTGTTCAATATCAACCTTCAGAAATATTCCAAATGGGATAAATCACACTGAATAATTATTAATAAAAGAGAAATTGATTATAACGAGTCAGAACAATTACAAAACTATATTGCTAACGAATTATGCACATATTTATTACTCTACTGCCTGGTCTGTTTTCACTTATTTGGCATAAACGATAATACCTAAAGATGGAATCTGAGCTATTTCGCTCTGGGAAATAAATTTATATTCGTCACAGCCTAAACACAGAGGAACAGTGAAGATAAATAATAAAGCGGACATAGGTGCAGAAAATATTTAACCCAAACAGAACTAAACAATAGGTTCATGTTTGATAAATCCAGATTTATAAATAATATAGGAAAGCCCCGGTTTGTCAACAGTAGATGAATGGAACAAACTGCCTAGAAGCGTCACTGAAGAGAATACTTAAGACAGTTTTTTTTATAATTAGGCTAAACAAATACACGAGTGGAAATGGTTGGGTGTATGACCTACCATGGGCCAGTTGGCCTACTGTAGTACTCACTCCACTATCATAATGTCAATGGAGCGAAGAGTAGGGAACAAGGTGGTGACTTGCTATGTTCAGGACCAGGTCAAACGTGACGGGGGTTTATAACAAGAATAACGAAAAGAAACATTTAATAGATAAGGGCCCTGAAAAAAAAAAATCCTTAAAAGATAAATTAACAAAAAATATCGAAATAGGGACATTTCACGAATAAAAACATAAAATTACAACGAAAACTTTAATCCCCCGGTGACATTAGACAAATTAACTTTAAAACGAAACTATACGGAATATCTTAAAAATTATTAAAATTATATGCATCAAATTATATACAGCACAATCATTAAAAATCTCAATGAGAGAGAGAGAGAGAGAGAGAGAGAGAGAGAGAGAGAGAGAGAGAGAGAGAGAGAGAGAGAGAGAGGAGAGAGAGAGAGAGAGAGAGAGAGAGAGAGAGAGAGAGAGAGAGAGAGAGAGAGAGAGAGAGAGAGAAGAGAGAGAGAGAGAGAGAGAGAGAGAGAGAGAGAGAGAGAGAGAGAGAGAGAGAGAGAGAGAGAGAGAGAGAGAGAGAGAGATAGATAGATAGATAGATAGATAGATAGATAGATAGATAGATAGATAGATAGATAGATAGATAGATAGATAGATAGATAGATAGATAGATATTGAGATTTAAAGGGATAAATAATATACAAGTTTTAGATTAAGATTTCTAATACTAATGATATATATAGTTATCTCAATTAAGCACTGTTGGGGATTTAGTAGAGCACTGAGCCACAGCAGCTAGACACCTGTACCGAGGCTCTTACGCACCACAACTGATTTAATATCCTCCTTCAGCACACAACTCGTGTTTAAATCAGATCGGTAGATCTGTGACGGCTTGACTGGGTCTATTATCTACCAGAAGCCGGGGTCCTTACTGGGACGCAGCACACACGCACGTCTTTTACAGCAGCCCCAAGATTACGTGCACGGATTAACCCCCCCCCCCGAACCCCTTCTCCCCAGTTTCCCAAGGTTCCCGTACAATTAGGTCAACTTTGGAGGAGCTCATTCAGAACGCCTTAACCTTCAACGCACAATTTCATTCGGTATGTTTGCCCTCGCAGGTTACTATTTAGTGCCTTAAACCTCTGGCTAAAACTCATTATTACACCACAAAGGTAGTCTGTAGACCTTTCACCTCGTACATGTCACGCAACCTAAGCACTTAATATTTGATTTGTAAAATTCCCTCATAGAGAATCCTTTTATTTTTGTTTAGGTAAGTTAGGATGAGAATATGCGAGTTAACCTTTAAAAACACAAAGCTCACCAATATTCTTAATGCAAATACTTGTCAAAATACCAAATGACTATCACAGTATCTTCCACAATCAGTTCGAGAACTAAATCCTTGTAATCCCTTCTTCCTAAATAGCCGAGATCTCGTCTCGTCCCACAGCCCGTCCTTATGTAGTACATCGTACAGTTCTCAACTAATTCACTGACTGGTGTATATACCCTCTCCTGCTAGACGTTACCCCTCTCATTTATAAGTTTTTCATGGTGTTAACGACATACAAATTTAAGATATTTTATATTAAAATAATTTAACCAAAACTAACGAGATACTTCAAAAGTAGAAGTATACACGTTAGAGAATGAGTTGTGTATATTGAGTAGCAACTGCATCCCCCTGGGTGTGGTATAGACGTCCCTGACAAGCAGCACTCCACTACCTGGCAGGTGAGCCTTCCCACGCAGCTGGCCTCAAGATCGTGATCCTGACAATACAGCGCCAGCTCTCGGCCTTTACTTGAAGTCTCAGCGCGGTTCAGGTTTTTGAGAAGTGCACAGACTTAAGACTGTGGAACGCATGAAGCTAATCAACTTGCACCGGGCTAGCCTTGACATCAAGCTTTGAAAATGCTTCTCGCGAACTTAAAAAAAATATATCTTCTGGGCTATTATATTTTTAAAATTCTCTCAATGTTGGAGAGAGTATTCGTCCAGTTGAGTTTGAAAAGGTTGAGTCATAGCCTCTGGCCCCACCACTTAACCCTGACCACCAGCTGTACTGATGCATGGCCTTCAAGTGCCTGAATATACCTACTCTTCAAATTTGTGAAAAAGGATGGTTTGTACAGTTTCTGTAAACAAGAATATGCACCAATTGGACGCGATATGCAGGTTGCCAACCCTTGCACAAGGGTTTGCTTATATAACCGTCAGAAAAAATCACCTGTCAGTGTCTTCGTCAAATCGTGACACTCTCCATAACATCGATGGTTTTATGGTGATGGTGGAGATACTGACGTCTTAGAACTCACTTTTCCAAACTGGTTGTCATTGGTCCTATTACAGGCAACGGCAGCAGTAACCACACGTTACTTTAGTCACTTATGCATAATCTCTGATCATTCCGCTAAGATACAGTCTCAAACTCCAAACTTTATCAAGTGATCTCTGGGGCACGAACTAATTCCCGGCGACACTTACAAGAGTTCTTGTACAATAAGCCAGTTTCGTTTACATGGATGCTGTACACTGCATTTGGAAATTCCTTGTTGAATAATTGAACATGAAAGATAGAATAAGTTACCTATAAGGTCACTGTTTAGTTAAAGAATTTCATATTACAACTGTTACCCATGAAAAACGTCAAAACCACTATTCTCTCACTAGCCTTTAATTTCTTCATAAAACTAAATATGAACCCGTTTCACACAGGGCGTTTCCATGAACACTGATCTTTATAATTAGCTTACCTACACGTAGTCCATCTTAGTCACTGGCTGCCATGATGCCGTCAGCACTTCTACCCACCTAATGACACCATTTTCCTAGATTTTCACAAATACGATCATCCATAGAATGATCGGCAGCATTTGCAGCTGCTGCTCTTACGGTGGGATGTTCAACGTCTAATTTTTGCATGGTAAAATTATAGCATTACTAGTAAACACATTTTGATGGTTTTATAAAGTAATCCACGCGCTTTAAATAAGCAGGTATTATAAATGTTAAGAAAGAACAGCACCGTCTCTGAGCGTCCGGTCACACGAGAAGCTAAAAGTTTGGCTTCTGTATTATATTACACTCCACTAGATAACTAGTTTTAGACTATGGTGCTGGCCTCCACTGCTTGCTAGGCATCACTAGATACTTTGGCCTCTTGTGCTAGGCCAGCTATATAGTTTGCTAGGGTCTGCTGCATAGTCTGCTAGGCTCCACTATATAATTTGGGCTCTTATCGTGCTAGGCTCCACTATAAACCACAATTAACAATAAATCTTCTACAGCACCATGGCTACGACCACTTTATTCCACATGTAACAAGACAAAGGCAACTCTGCTGGAATTTACTGTCCAGAAATGAAGCTCGGGGCTTCTATTTAGGTTTCATTTAGGTTGCCGATGCGTAATATATATATCACAAACGGCTTGCCTTGCACGGTTTATTGAATATATAATATACCAGGCAAGGTCTGTTGGTTACTTCTCGGTGAATATGAGGGTCATAAATATATACGTAGCCCAGAGAAATATAAGAAAATCCTTAAGGCCAAAAATATCAAAGCCCCAACTGAAGACGGGAGAGTATATGATGTGTAATATTACGTTACCTCTATTTTCTCTGCAAGAGGTCAAAGCATGAGAATCAAAGGAGAAAGTCATAGCACCATAATTTCTCGGTGACCGCCGCTGCCATCACCGAACGAGCTACATCAATTGCAGTCTTCGCCTTCGCCACTGCAGCCGCAGAAAGCTATAAAAGCAGACGTTACCGTATTACTACCACCACAAAGTTGATGCCGTGATGATAGATAAATGTGAAAATCAATCAGTCGGGCATATCAATGAATAACAGCAAGCTTTACTACAACAAGTTACCATGCAAGTCCTGGTCGCAACACCACAGATTAAAATTAATAAAATTACTACAGTAACAGCCGTCAGAAGCTAGCCCAGGTGTGTTACAACCCCTTTCACTGTAATGAATAGCTTTTGTTGGTAACTATGGCACAGTTTTAACTAAGCTGTTAATTGAGCACGTTATTCACAATTCAATGTAAATAAATATAAATGAAAATGGAGAACTATATTCCAGAGGACGTCCTGATTGCTGGTCCTCCCAATCTGATTATGTGGGTGGAAGGGGAGGTCCACTGTGATTAATAATTTAAAATTGTCTCAGGTGTGATGCTGTAGCCCCCTCTCCTCCTGCGAAAGTTTTATCACAACCGCAAGGAAAATGATTAGCTAACAGGAACCTTCAAAACCAAAAGATACCAAGCCAATGATGACAAGTCAACTGTTCTCCCTTTACTGGATTGTTGTACACTAACAACCCCTTTTAAAGTAGGCGAAATTGTACAGTAATTCTTCACTACCCGTATAAATTCAATCAAGTAAATTACTGGGAATGAAAGAAATCCCTCCAACTGAACTCCTTGGAACGGAGGGGAGATGGACTCATCATAATTTACACTTGGAAAATGCAAGAGGGATTGTCCCAAATCTGCATCATGAAATTACTCCCAACGAAGAGGCTCAGCAAATGATTCAAAATAACCGCAACGGAAAGCTAAAGTGCAGTGGGTACACAAAGATAATTTAAGAAGCGTCAAGGGGGTCAGGATTTTCCAACACCCTCCCTTTATACACAAGGGGAATTACCAACAGACCCCTGGCTGCCTTCAAGTGAGAGCTTGAGAAGTTTCAAGTCAGCTGAGGGCTGTCATGCCTACGGATGGACTGCGTGCGGCTAGAACCAACAGGCTGGTTGATAAGGTATTACCCATGATGCCTAGTCTGAGCTGAGGGAGGGTGAATGGATGGGTGGGTTTACCCTCAGAATCTTCTACAGGTAAGATCCAATGGGAGGTGATGGCCGTCTCCATAGGGAAGTTGTACTTCTCTCCCCAGGGAGAGGGGAGGACCGTCCGTTCCTATTTCTCCCTCCCTTTCGACGGCCCCACTTATCTCGCCTACCCAATCTAATCAGTACCCTGGCCAGCTCCTCCAACAACCCTAGCTATCCTTTCGTCCTACCTACTCTATCCATCAACGTCCATGACTAATATATCATGGGGAGGCTCGGGAGCGACCACGACTAGCTTGAGGCTGTAGGAAGATGTGGTATCCTTCCCTGCCCCACGTGGCTAAAATCATGGGCATCAGCCATTGTCTACTTACCTGGTGTCTACCTGGTGATAATTCTCGGGATCTTCGGACCGGTCTTTGACCAGTCCTTCTGGCTGATTACCTGGACACCAAAAGTCAGGCTTGGAAGAAGCTTCATGTGGTCCAGTGCTAGCACTACTATCATGTGGTCCAGTGTTAGCACTACTATTATATTCACGAGGAAGCTCTAAATTCGTAAGGGTCATACAGGGCCTGGGGGATAGGATGTAATCAGAGCTGATCCAAGGAAAAGGATGATACCTTCAATTCCTATCCCTAAGAGCACTTCAATGGACCACAGTCGGACTGATCATACAACCTGGCAGGAGGTAGGGGTCACAGAGGGTATTATACACACCTCCTGCTGGTTGATGGCGAGTTTACTGAACGTAGGAAGGGTGTGGTACCTTACTCAAGATATATGATTGGTATGGAAATGAAGGAGGTGGGGGTGAGGACCGTGAAGCACTGTTGCTGTGCTGAGTACACAGTTGTGTCTGGACGAGTGGCTTCACGAACAGGGGAAAGTACAGTTGGATGTAGGAAAAGTGGTATGAAAAGAAAATAGTAAATATTGTCCAAATAAAAAAAATATTATTAATATGGGATTAGTGAAAGTTAACTGAAACTTGCATGTTGGAAAATGTACATAGTGAATGAATGATAGGACAATATAAAGAAAAAAAATGAGGAGAGTGTGAAGTTTGGAGTGTGTAATGGGTGTACCACAGTTAACAAGAGGCAGGGCAGTGGGGGCAAAAGTGAAATCAACTGTGGTTGAGTTAGTGGACGTGATGAGCGCGCACACAAACCATACATTAACTAGTTTACGATCCATATAGTGCATCGTGCAGGGGTGTCGTGTTGCTTACACCCAGACATACCAGCTCAGGAAGAGCTACGCCACCAAAACTTACGCAACAAGTTAGCGGGAAGAATATAAAGGAGGAAGGGACTTGACAACTGAGCCGAGAAAAGCCTTAGTAATGATAAGCTTTGTAAAAATGGGAAAACAACGGATAAAGATAAGTATAAAAACATTATTACAAGTTCGTGTACACTCACTTTGCTTCATTCCTCATTATAGGAACCGAGATAATCTTTATATTGGCGAGTGGCTTGACTGAGGCCTGAATAACCCCCTCCTGCAGTAGAGGGGCCTTAAGGTGAGGGGAATCTGCTAAGGTGAGACCTCAAGAAACAGCAAATGGTGTATAAGTTCGCAACGGCCACGTACCATGTTATAAATTTTACAAGTATACATCACACTGAACATCAGTAGGGTCGTCGGCAGGTAAATAATCCTGACTCGCAACTCATGATGATAACTTTTGGCAGCCATACACGAGCCGCCACCACCAACCTGTCCTGGATTTAACAAGTACTGCACAATGGTTTCCAAATGAATTTAAATGGTGCAGAGATTAACGCAACCCTTCAAGTATCTACTAAGGTTGTTTTTATTAAACCAAAATTGGATACCAACAGTAAACGAGAAGTGCAGTTATATACCAGGAAAACTGGCAATGCGATAAGGGAGTAATATAGCAAGAGCACATCACCCAACCCACTCATTCATCAAACTCTCATCCACAAAGATTGCAGCATATGAAGACGACTGCAGAAGGAATCAAGAATAGCATGTTAGCAAGTCAAATTGTGAAAAAGGAAAAAATAAGACGACTTGTTTTTTGACAGGCATCAAAGACAGCAGGCAACCGGCGGATGGAAAGGGTAGCAGAAGAGGGGGGGTTGAGGGCAGGAGAGAGGGGGTGCGAGGGCAGCAGCAGGACGGACAGAAGGCAGCAGGCAGGCGGATGGGGCAGCAAAAGAGACCGGGCGAGATGGCAGCAGGCGGAAGGAGGCAACAAAGGCGGGCGGACGGGGGCAACAAAGGCGGGCGGACGGGGGCAACAAAGGCGGGCGGACGGGGGCAACAAAGTCAGGAGGACGGGGGCAAAAAAAGTCGGGAGGACGGGGGCAAAAAAAAGTCGGGAGGACGGGGGCAGCATAGTCGGGAGGACGGAGCAACGAAGTCGGACGGACGAGGACAACAAAGGCGGGAGGACAGTACAACAAAGGCGGGCGAACGGGAGGGCATGAGGCGGGAGGTCGGGGACAACAAAGGCGAGCGACGGAGGCAAAACAAGGTTTATGTTTTGTTTTGCATAATGATCACCGTGAGTGAGATCATCGACCAATTGGCCGCACTTCGCACGAACCAGCTGCAAATGACGATAAAAGCAGTCGTACCAGGCGTTAATGTCTAGGCTAACTTACCCCCAGCACTTTTTCCGATGATGAAAGGAAACTAAAAGTAGTTTTGAGATATATTACGCTAACTTTCAAAATAGAATGTATGACGTGACTGTGTGGTGTTATATGGGCTAATGTTGCTGACATAAACAACGAAATTTAGATAGGGGAACTTTTAACTCTTGATTTAATGAAGATATTGTTCCCTAACACGAAGAATCTGAATGCCCCACTAATCTGGATTGAATTTAGTTACACGCCAATATATACAAACTATTAAGTAGCAAACATTTCTCAAAAATTACTATAATAACTTAGTTACAATCATCTTTATGACAGTTGAGCAAAGGTTTCCAACTATCCTGTAACACCGGACTCCCTAAAGAAATCCGATAAAAATCATTAAAACAGCTACAGAAGACTTCCAACAATATAAATAGTCCTTAACCCAGCCGACCCTGCCAGTCCCTTGAATGTTTTACTTGCCCAATATATGGGAACATGATCAGACTATGTACTACAGCAAACAATAATCGACCTTCAAACCTTTTCTCCCTAAACTCTCCCACAGAGTTTGGACTCTAGTACACAAATGTACTCTTGCCAGCAGTCCCAGGCTCCTTGTGATAAACAATGTTAGATAAAAGGACAAGTGCAACTAATGTGACATTTTATTGTGGCAACTTTTCGCTCTCCAGGAGTTTTATGAAGCCGTTGATAAACAATGTTTACCTTCCGCTGTTAACATGATATAAATAATACGAGATACGACAAGCTTACGCTTTATTCGTATAAAAACTACTAGGTAATTACTTCATACGAGCCTTAGGAATGGTAAGAAAAACGAATGACATATATGAAGTTGTACAAGTCCGTTGTATGTACAATCTTTTCAAGGCTGATTACATCGACTCACGGCTGAGGGACTGATTACCTCAAACTCCTCCTGTTCTTCACCATTCTCAAATGTATGGACTGATGAAGCCACTGTGTGGCGAAACGTTTCCTCAATAAAGATACCCAAGTGTTGCACATGTGTAATTTATTAAGTCCGAGTCTATTCACAGTAAGCTATAGTACGCTAGTTCACGCCCAGTAAAGGGGCAGGGATAAACGCTTACACTACACCCCTCAGTTAAAACGACTAATACAGTCTATTAAACTACTTAGTGGCATAATTACACTGATTTAGATTTTAAAAAAGATTTCAATACGATTCTCTGAACGGCTTGTATAAAACAAAAGCAATAAAAGGAGGAACAATAAGCAAACAATTACAGTAAAAAGGGTTTATGAACGGAAAATGCGAAAGGGGAAATTGTGTAAGAAGTACTGGGAACCGATCAGGCAACCTCCACACAAGGCAATCACCTCGTGAGAATGTCACCGCGTGTGGCACAAGAATCATGTTTTAATTTTTATAAATGACCTGTACGAAGAAAAAATGTAAACATTTGCACATTCACAATGATCATAGAGAAAAAAAAACTTACAAAAATAAACAAGAGTAATAAACTACTGAATTTAAGGGTTAATGTCCAGTATATTTGCGTTCAAACTTATATATTTAACTACATACTCATTCGCTGCCTGACTACGGTGGAGTGCGGTTGTGCCCAGCACCCCTCTGCTGTCTTTCAGGCGAGCTACCACAGTACATCAACAACCATTGAGTAGTGTGGACGTGCGCTGCTCATTTTGGGATATCAAAATGGCTGAACATACAGTACGGAGAGTAAATACTATCTGCATAGAGCTGGTTCGTGGTACGTTAAGTGGAGATACGATGAACGTACTTCTCCCTAACATCATCAGGGACACATATGGTATCCCCAACGAGGAATTATATGGCGTCGCTCTTAATGGTTTGTCAAGAATCTTCGTGAAATTTCTGAGAGCCGCTTCTACACAAGAATTGTCGAGCAGTACCAGGAACAACGCATGAGTGTGAATTCAGCGATGGATGTTGTGTTACATGATGTTTCCAAGTACTACACATGGGTGAAGGTACGGAATGTACCCTTCGAGGCTACGGCGTATGGATACAGGAGTTTTTAGCAGTTATGGGACAGTTGCACTTCTGCACCATGGGGGTATGGAGGGATGGTCCGTAATGAAGAATGCAGGGAAGGTTCTACACCCTTAAATTGTTCTTTAACAAGGCCTATACCCATCCTATGGAACGATGACGGTTGTTAGAACACAGGTTTATGTGTTACTATGGGAGTCAGAGAAAAACATGGTCGGTCCTGTGCAGCTCTTATGAGCCACATGGCAGGCCCAGGGTCCTAGGATGGCAGGCTCCTCGAATTCTGGGAACGGGCCGCGATTGTGATTCAACAGTCGTTGTGATTTTGGTTTTGCCTGGCTTCTGTTGACTTTCTGGAAGGCCGGGAGGCCTGATCTCTGGAGCAAGGGGGTCGACCGGGAGGTGGCGGGAGGAGGATAAGGGTGTTCACTATCCCAGGGGAGGTCGGGGGAGTCGAAGGTGTTAGCTGAGGAGGTCTTTTGTCCAGGAGCTTGACTCAGGAGGGATTTTAACTGGCAGATGTCATCATGGATTTTTTGGATGGGGATGAGCCAGGGTTGTAGAAGGTGGTCTCAGTTTTATGTGAAGTTGGGAGTTGGAGGGACATACAAATTGGTGGAGGAGGAAAGCTTGAGTAAAGAAAAAAGGCTGGAGTGTTGTGGTGGCCGTGGAGGTACAACTGGAGGATTCGCTTCTGTGGGTGAGATGTGTGTAAGTGGAAAGTTCTAGAAAAAAGAACTGCGGCATAAGAGATAGACGATGGCTTATTACCCCGGGGGGGGGAAGAGGCCGGGGGGGAAGAAGTCATGGGCCAGCGGTTTGTGGAGTAGCCGGATGCCACATGTGCTAGAGGTGCGCCTGAGTTGCACAGTGGAGAGGGAGGGGGGAGAGGTGACTGCACAAGGGATAACTCGAGTGGTT